GAACCGAATCCGGTTCTCAATCCGAGGGTCAATCCGAAATGCTGTCCGAATACTCAATCCGGTTTCGATCCGATGGCCGGTTTAATCCGATCCGGTTCGGTCAAAACCGGTTTTGACCAAATCCGGTTTTCGGATCGGATCGGATCCAAGAGCCCAATCCGGTTTTTGTGCCCATCTCTAACCACAAACACCACCTTAATCACCACCTTCCCCATACCTCATCTCTGATGCAAGTCAACCAACCGCCGTCCCCCTCTTTCCCTGCAGCCTCCACTTTGGGCAATCTCGTTGCTTCTGCAGCATCCTCGGCCACAGCCACATCGGCGGTCGGCAACCACTACCACTATCCCACTATGACGTCTAATCATTCCACCTTAAACACCAACACCCCAGCACCCCCTTTGCACCACTACATGCATACTCGATCTTGTATTGGTATTGTTAAACCCATGACTCACTTAAATCTCCACATATCTTCTCTTTCTCCAATACCCAAAACTCATATTCAAGCTCTTCGTAATCTAAAATGGAAATCCGCTATGCTTGACAAATATGGGGCTCTTATTAAAAATAGGACTTGGGTCCTTGTTCAACGCCCTCAAGGGGTTAATATTGTTCGCTCAATGTGGCTATATAAACAAAAAATCAATGTTGGTGGTTCTCTTAACAGGTACAAGGCACGACTCATTGCTAATGGTAAGAGTCAACAACAGGGTATCGATTGCGAAGACACTTTTAGTTAGGTCGGCAAACCGGCCACCATACGGACGAATCTTAGTACTGTTGTCTCCCGACAATGGCACATTCACCTGCTCGATGTCAAAATATGTTTCTCCATGGCCATCAATCAGAGACTGTCTATATGCACCAACCCCCCGGTTTTGTAGAACCTTCCAAACCGGGCCACGTCTATCGGCTTCAAAAGTCTTTATATGGCCTCAAGAAGGCTCCTCGAACCTAGTTTCGGCGCTTCGTCACTCATGCCATGCGACCTGTTTTCAAGCACATCAATAGTTGGATTCTTCTTTATTTGTTTTACAGCAGGGCAAAGACTTGGCTTACTTACTGCTATATGTCGACGACATCATCTTGACAGCTTCAAGTTCTATGCATTTACGCCAGCTCATCTCCTCTCTCAGCAAAGAGTTCGCCATGACAGATCTCGGTGACCTGAACTACTGTCTGGGCATTTCTGTAACTAGGTCCAAGACTGGCATGTTTCTTTCTAAGAAGAAATATGCATATGAGCTACTTTAGCACGCTCATATGACCGATGCCAACCCCAGCCGCACTCCTTTCGATTTCTCCGCCAAATTGGGAGATGGAAGCACTATGTAGCTGACCCATCATTGTATCGTAGCCTTGCGGGGGAATTACAGTATCTCACGTTCACTCGACCAAATATCTCCTTCGTTGTTCAACAAATATATCTCTACATGCACGACCCCTGATAACCACATTTCAATGGTCTAAAACGCCTGTTGCGATACATCAAAGTCACTCTTGATCATGGTCTACAGTTGTACACCTCCTCATTAATGACTCCCAGTGCCTACTATGATGCAGACAGAGGCGATGCCCAGTCACTCACAGGTCCACCTTTGGTTAGTGCGTTTTCCTAGGAGGGAACCTTATATCATGGTCGTCCAAACGACACCATACGAAATCCCGATCCAACGCTGAGGCTGAATATCGCGGCGTAGCCAATGTAGTTGCTGAAACGAATTGGCTACGTAACTTGTTTCGTGAGCTACACTTACCACTTCGTTCAGACACTCTCATCTATTGTGATAATGTGAGTGTGATTTACATGTCGGCAAACTTGGTTCAACATCAGCGAGCCAAACACATAGAGATTGACATTGACTTCGTTCATGACAAAGTTGCTATGGGTCAAGTTCGAGTTCTCCATGTTCCATCTATATACCAGTATGCCGACATATTTACAAAAGGGCTTTCCTTTCCACTATTATCCGACTTTCGCTCCAGTTTAAGAATTCGTGAACCTCCCGCTGAAACTGCAGGGGCATATTAGTCATGTATTCTTTACACTATTGTATTAGCTTAGCCTTATTGTTGTATTTGGCCCTTTCTTATTCTCGGCCAACATCTATTGTACTCTTGTATATATATTGTTTGATATCAATAAAATCATTCAAGGGAAACAATCGCTTTTAATAAATATATTAATTTGAAAAACATGGATTACATTTTTTCTAGTACCTCGTTTTATTATTTTCACAAAACAAAAACGTTGAGTTTATGGATTGAATCTTGAGTTTTAACAAAATTATGTTGGTAAATTCATATACGATCACACAGTTTGTATATGTTTATACAACTGCATGTAACATTAACAATATGTGTGTTTATCATCAATGTAAAAAAAATGAGAAAGAAAAACTAAAACATATTTTCGTTTATAACCATTGTTTTTTTCATAACCATTGTTCGGTCTTTTTCAAAAAGCATTCCAAGAAGAACATGCACTTTGTGACAAATTAGAAGTGACATATACCCGATTTCGAATTCAAGTTTACCAGAAATTATGTTCCCTACATTTATATGTTTCATACCTAACTCATTCGTACACCATTTGACACATATCTAACCATATGCATGCTCGATTAAGTTTTTGGTCTCATTGTACAATTTTCACCAAACTCCCCAAACAAATCGACAATTTGTACGCAGTCTTTGATCCTCCCCGAGTAATAAACCAGACCAAATTAATTCATGGTATTATTTTAGCTTTTGTGGCTACAATTTTGAAGACACTTAAAAGGGTCCGTTACTAAAGTCTGGGCATTATCCAAGTTCATTTAATTAGGCCTTTAACATATCTTTGTCAATTAGGTACATGCATTTATCGTTAATCTTCTTCTTTCCTAAAATGGAAAGACGAACATGCGAAACATACGTCATCTTACTTTCTAGACCCTATTTTTGTGCATAAATTTTTACGACCTATAACTTTAACATTATTGAAAGCTTCAAGAGCACTTGTTTATTATCCTAGAATAGACACGTGCATTCCTGTATAAATTTTTTTATTATGTTAATGTATATCTCCGTTGAGTGATGTATTAACTTGATCACATTTATTTGTGTAATTTAGCGTAATTAATTGTAAAATGTATAGGCTCGAAAGATCTCTGATAAAGTTATGTATCGTGTTGATAATGAATCATAAGATCGATTGAAAAACCCACTCGATCAAGTTACGAGATTAGATTACTATGAAAGCTTCATATAAACCAGGTAAGAGTATTATATGGAGTAAAGTGAATATTAAAGAGACTTATAAACGACAGACAAAAGTAACCTAATTTTACATTAACTCACCCAACTCTCATTTACATACGCTAAAAGACAAAACCATAAACACACACACAAGAAGACAAACAAAAAACGCACACATAAACACACACATTGCAGTATAAATAGGAGGTGTGTTTCATAAGGAGACGTGTGGTTGAAGTTCTTGTTTTCACTCACAGTCGCTGCTACTAACAGCTTCAGTTTCCACCACCCTTCTATGGAAGTTGCGGTGGCAGCCACAGGCGGCACAGGTAAGTGAAGCCTCCGTGTCCTCCTCCTCACTCGCCGCCATGAATTCCCGACACCCATCAACAGCATACCCGCCAACGTTGGCTGCATGGTTTCTTTGACACTCGCCATATCTCACATGAACCCTCATCGTGTTCGATGAGTTAGCTGAATCCATTGACGGTGGTGGTGGTAGTGGTTCTTCCCTTTTCAACACAACTCGTCTTTTCGTCATTTCTTTAGAGAAAAGATGTCTTCTTTGTTTCTTAACTTGCGTAACCCTAAAAGGGATTATTTATAGGCTGTAAAGCTTTTCACTAACCTTAAGAATATATTTGATTAGTTTCACTTTTCACCCTTACTATTTGATTATGTTGCCATTCTTAACCTTACTGTTTTTATTAATCAAAATTAGACCTTTGTGTTTTTTTTGTAAGGATACTACGGCAGAATTATAGTTTAAGTTTTGGTTAGAAGAAGTATGCATGTGTGCTTCCACATGTATATGCGATCTTAGCTATCTATTGGCACATGTATGTTTCTAAGAATATTTCCTGTTTCTTTTTTTAGCCTTAATTTTACCCTTTTTTCAAAATCTATTTCTTTTTTTGTCTTAAAAATTATAGTAAATATTAGATATTTTATAGACTACTTTTACAATTTCTTGAAGTCGATTTTTGAAATTTCTTACCGCCTTTGAGTAATATTTATTACATATATGAATTTCTTGAGAAAAGAATGATCAATTGTCCGAATAGATATGTACTCTCTTAGCAAAATAAAGGACTAATTTATAATCTATAATCTATTTATTTTTAAATCCCTCTCCTTTAGAGTTGGTATTACATATAGAAAAAGTGAATGACACAGAAGTTATGCCAAGATAATATGCCCAAAAATGTTTGGTTGAAAAGGAATTCAGATTGGCAAAATACTTATAGGAGGGAGCATGTTACATCAAATTGTCAAGACTTATCCTTAGAATAAGCTTAATTATGAGTTTGAAATTCGGTATTATCCGTAACATTATTAGTATGATTTACCATGTTAACAACAAAATTTCTTGCGTTTTAGACCGCAAAATTGAAATTATGTCCAGAATGTAAGAAGAGTAAAAAGACAAGGGTTGTAAGTGAAAGTGTCATTTATCTCATGTGGTGGGTAATAATGTATAATAGTTAATTAAGTGACACAAACACCCTCTAGAGTGGTCCAATTATGAACTGATTACCCAAATGTTAACAACTCATTAAGCATAGAACAAAAGTGTTTCCTTCTTTTTGAAGGGATAAACGAAAAAAACTGGTCATTAATAGACTTTCATTTCATCTAGCTTGTTGAACTGCCCAAGAACAACTAAGCTAGTAAACTCGTAATTTATATTTTTGGTTATCCTTTTCATAACATTTTTATAATGCATGAAATCAAACAAAGAGAAAAAGTGATTCCATATTATTATTAATTAAAAGGATGTGATGAAGTGATTGGAAATCATGCGTAAGCCCTAATAATTCAATGCACCAAATACGACTTTTAATTTCATTTGACTTGTTGAAATGACAAAGAAAGTAAAAAGATTCTTAGGTTTTCGGATGGCAAGAGTGTCTTTATTTTACTAATTTGTTTTTGGATGGCAAGAAGATAAGTTGCGATAAATGAGGATATAATTGGAGTGAGCAATTAACTTATATTATACGATGTAACTGTGAATAAAATACGAATTTTCATTTCATTAGATTTGTGAAACGACCAAAAACGATAAAAGCTTTAAGGTACTCTTTTTTTTTTTTTTTTTTACTTTTTCTTTCTAAAATGGCTAATTAAACATCTGGGGTTAATTCAATGTATCAAATATTAATATCCTCACTTCGGATGTGACATTAGGGTTCTATCTTCAATGAATCTAATTAATTGATTATGGTAATTGGACATGGTTTTCTTTTAATTGAGTAATGACAAACTAATGGGTAATGTGTAATCTCACCATTTTAAGAAAACAAAATTGACTAAGAATAAAGATTAAATGAATCGATATCAAATTTGTGCAGCTCTCATGGGATTGTTGCATGTATGCTTACACATTTTAGGCACTTTTTTTTAACACTAGACTTTAATTAAAACAACTAAAAGTTGGAATTACATGGTACAATACAATGGGTTTTCAACCCAAGAGATCCAAATCAAATTCCTACCCCATTTCGCTCTACTCCTAATCCATAAAAAGGCCAAAGCATTGACATCATAGGCTAAAGCTGTCACACCCCGCTAAAGCGGAAACGCAAGGTATGACAGCGACAAAGGTTTCATTGCAAAAGATAAAG